CCTCATCTGACCCCAGCGTCCGTGTCACCGGGAAGGGGATGCCAGGGAGGAAGTGGGCGCCCATCCCCAGGACAGAACCCGGGGCAGCAGCCTGGGTGCCTTTCAGCCGAGAGAGGAGGCTTAGGTTAGACATACAGAAGTTCTTTGCTCTGGGGCTGGTGGACACTGGCCCAGGTTGCCTGGTGGAAGCTGTGGGTGCCCTGTCCCGGGGGGTGTTCAAGGCCATCTTGGAGAGGGGTCTGAGCAGCTTGCTCTACTGGGAGTGTCCCTATCGACGGTGGGGGCTTGGAGCTGGAGGAGCTTTCATGTGTCTTCAACCCAATGTGGGCTGCATCCCTTGGTGGCAGCCACACTGTGCCTGCCTGGATCGGGCCTTTTGGGCTGGTGGCAGAAGCTCCTGGTATCTGTCTGGGGTGCAGGGAAAACCAGGGGTGGTGCTGCTCAGGACAGAGAGTGCAGGGGACACGTGTGTGTGTCTCCGTGTGCCTGGTGGGGGCTGTGGCCCATCCCTGGAGCTGCAGATGACAGAGGTCCTATTGTCCAGTCCTGGCACTGCTCAGCTTGGAGCCACAAGTGCCCTTCCCGGGTCTGCAGCCTCCATTTAGGCCACTGCTTCCCATGTTGGCACCAGCACTGGTGTCCGTTCACTGAGCCCCAACGTGATGGGGATGGGAAGGGACCTCTGGAGCTCATCTCCAGCCCCCTGCTCCAGCAGGTCACACACCGCAGCGTGCCCAGGATGGCATCCAGGAGAGTTTGGAATCTCTCCAGAGCAGGAGACTCCACAGCCTCTCTGGGCAGCCTGCTCCAGGCTCGGCCACCCTCACACCAAAGACATTCTTTATGGGAGGTGCCATCAGTGCTGGGAGCAGGCGAACGTTCTGTGTGAGGTGCTGGTAGCAGTGGACCAGGCAGGAAAAAGCCTGTCTGGGTGGGCAGGGGGGAGCTGGATCCTGCTTGAGGTGCTCACTGGGTTTCTCAGCTCCATATCCAATCCTAGAGTCCTGGAATCACAGAACTGTTTTGGTTGGAAGAGACCTTTAAGATGATGGAATCAAACTGTTCCCCAGCACTGCCAGTTCCCCACTGACCCATGTCCCTCAGCACCACATCTCCATGGCTTGGAAACCCCTCCAGGGATGGGGACTCCACCACTGCCCTGGGCAGCCTGGCACAGCCCTGCACAACCCTCCAGGGCAAGAAATTGTTCCTCAGGGTCAACCTCAACCTCCCCTGGGGAAACTTGAGGTCATTTCCATCTTCCTTCTCTTCTGTCAGGAGCTGAAGGGCTTCAACTCGGTGGATGACCTTCTCCACGTCAAAGGCATCACCACCCGCATCTTGGAGCTGAACAGCCAGCGGATGATGTGCCGCCGGCGGCCGGGCAGCGAGGAGGCTGCGAGGGGGGGCCCGGCTCTGCCCGGGGACAGCCAAGCTCCCGTGCCCCAGGTGGGAGCAGGTGTGGGGGTGGTCCTCACCCGAACCGGGGAGGGTGCTTGCACTGGGGGGCTGGTGGAGGGATGGAGGTTGGTGGGGGAGGAGACCCATCTGCTTTGGGGGCACCCAAGGGATGGCACACCCTATCCAGCAGCCGGTGGGCCACAGCTTCCTCTGAGGTGGCCACTTGCTTCAGGAGCATCCTGATGGGAAGGCCAAGATGCTCCAGGCCCAGCAGTGTCTGGCCGGAGGCTGTGGTGGCCCCTGAGCTGCTCTGGCCACTGTGATGCTTCTGCCCTCACATCCCCAAGTACTGTGGCCCAGGGGTTGCTGGTGGCTCCCTGCTGCCCCTGCCTCGGGCAGCTGGCCATCCGCAGGGGCCTGTGGACACCCGGGGGGTTCCACCCCAGCCACCACTGGAGGCCAGAGCTGGTTGTGGAGGGAAGTTCCTCCCTGAGCCGGCAGCTGAAGAGGCCACAGCCTATATATCTCTGTCCCATCCCCTGCCTTGTTGGCGGCCTTGTGGGCCAGCACAGACCTGCTCATCTCGGGGATGTTTTCAGGAGCACATCTTCCTGCAATGCTTGAAGAGCTCAAGAGCCCCAGGGGGCAAGAGGCTGGGGCCAGACTCTTGTCAGTGGTGCCCAGTGGCAGAACAAGGGGCAATGGGCACCAACTGGAACCCAGGAGGTTCCACCTGAGCAGGAGGAGAAACTTCTTTGGTGTGAAGGTGGCCAAGCTTGGAGCAGGCTGGCCAGAGAGGCCGGGGGG